GAAGCCTGCTTCTCCCTCTCCCACTCCCCCTGCTTGTGTTCCCTCTCTCGCTGTCTCTCTCTCTGTCAAATAAATAAATAAAATCTTTTAAAAAAATTAATATTGCTGGGGCGCCTGGGTTGCTCAGTTGGTTAAGCATCTGACTCTTGGTTTTGGCTCAGGTCTTGATCTCCCAGTCGTTAGATCGAGCCCCAGGATGGGCTCTGCACTTAGCACAGAGTCTGCTTCAGATTCTTTCTCCCTCTCCCTCTGCTTCTCCCCCACCCCCACTCACTCTCTCTCTCTTAAATAAATAAATAAACAAACAAATAAATAAATAAAATCTTTGGGAAAAAAAAAAGAGGGGCACCTGGGTGGCTCAGTTGGTTAAGCCTCTGACTCTTTAATTCTTCTCAGGTCACAATCTCAGGGTCATGAGATGAAGCCGGAGTAGGGTTCCATGCTCACTGGGGAGTCTGCTGGAGATTCTCTGTCTCCCTCTCCCTCTGTCCCTTCCCCTATTCTCTCTCTCTCTCAAAATAAATAAATAAAATCTTTAAAAAAAAGAAATTAATATTACTCCCAGAATCATCTCTACCCATTCTTACAGTCAAAGAAATAGTCATTAGACTAAGATGTTTCCAGGAATTTTGGACTACCAGAAGGAAGTCACTATCTTCTGAAGACACTGTTGCTATGAAAATGAAAGCTGGTCTATTTTATTGTAGTAACCACTTGAGTTGCTAATATTTACCTTATTTAAGATACATGTAGAGTAAATTTTAAAAAGAAGAAGAGTGGTTTGCCTTGGCAATGGTCACAAAAAGTCTATGTTCTCTTTTTTTTTTTGTAGCTGGACACAAATTTTTCAGGGTTGAGTCTCCAGCTCTAATCAAGTACTGTTTTGATGCTATACCAGGTGAAGAAGGCCTGCCATGTTCATGGAATCAATTCTGTTACAGACTTTTTCAATATTTCACAAAGATTTATTTTATTTTTTCTCGCTTATTCTAGTGAGACTCTATACAACTTCATTTCCCATATCAGAGAAAGCATTCACAGGGTAAGTATAGCTGCATGTCAAGGAATTAAAACATTTTACATTTTAAGAAGTTTACTAATTACATTGACCTTAATTCATATAGGATAACAGTATTTTAACTACCTTTTTTTTTAAAAGATTTTATTTATTTATTTGACAGACAGAGACACAGCAAGAGAGGGAGCACAAGCAGGGGGAGTGGGAGAGGGAGAAGCAGACCTCCCGCAGAGCAGGGAGCCTGATGTGGGGCTGGATCCCAGGACCCTGGGATCATGACCTGAGCCGAAGGCAGACGCTTAACTACTGAGCCACCCAGGCGCCCCTTAACTACCTTTTTTATCACTAAATGACAATACTCCAAGTTAGGAAAATAAGGCAATAGTCTGTGAATTCATTCTTAATTTGGGGTTGCTTAGTTGCAGACATCTGTGGAAAAGTCTGAGGAACATCTCAGCTCAAGAAGCCAATCTATTTTGGATTGTTTGGAGACTGTGGCCAAGACATGTGAGTATCTTGTATTTGAGGTTATCAGCAGAGGGCACTAGTGAGCAGTGAACTGAACTTTCTGACCCTAGCCACGTTTCTGTCAGGGGTGAGGTTCCATAGTGTACCTGGTTCCTAGATGCCCTCTGTGAAGCACTACTCCTCCATCCAGTAATCCCGCCGCCTCAGGATAGGTAACTCTGCCAGATTTCTCATCTGACTGCCTGAAGTGAATCAACAGCATCCCTGAGTCCCTAATGAGTTGCTGGCTGTGCTATCTATAAAGACATTGTTCCCTTAGGACTTAGAAATAAAGATTGCTCCCTTAGGAGTTAGAAATACTCCAGGCACCTAATCATCTTCTTGCTGCCATGGTTTCAATGAGAGCTGTTTTGTAGTGAATCACAGCATCTTTCTCCATTTCAGTTATAGTTAGTGATCTGTAAAGTCTCCTGCTCTACCAATTAGTGATTTATGTTTAGATAAAACCACGGTCCTGGCTCTTACTAAACAGAAGAGAGCCATAACACTGCTCTTCTTAGGCAGACACCTCTGTAGACCCAACAGCTTCTCAACTAAATAGCAAGATGATGACTGCATCTTCACTTGTTTGCATTTGTCTGTGTGTTTATTTTTTTATTTTAAACAAATTGAAGTCAACTTATTTAAATGCCTTGGAATGGATTGCTCATGATTTACAAAAATTAATGCCTTTGTGTGGCTTAGAAATTAATCTCCATCTGTCTGCAAAAAAGCACTGTACTGTCTGCTGGCTTCCAACCTGGGTATCCCACACACAGGGCAACTGTGCATCTGTTTGGAAATCAGTTCTGGAAGCCTGGGACTGTTGCCCTCACAAGAAGTAGCAAGACAAAGAGCAGAAGCAAATCAGGAGTGCTTTCTTTGTATATGATGGAATAACTCATTTGTAAGTGACCAAGGAAAGCACTCTTTTTGCTTTCTACATTTGAAACTAGGTAAAGTACAAAAAGGAGAATTATATGACATTCTTAGCCCAGACTAGGGAATGGAAGTATCCAAGCTCCCGATACAAGATCAAGGCAGAGCAGGGACTAGAACTGGGTCTGGTTTATAGTAGGCATAGGGATCCTGATCCTTCACCCTGATGGTTCCTTTTTAGAGGATAAGACTCAGGAGAAGGAGCCACTTTGATAGGGCAAACAGTAAAAAACACTGTGGCATCATGTTAATTACAAAGCCAGATCATTCTTTTTTTTTTTTTTTAAGGTTTTATGTATGTATGTATGTATGTATGTATGTATGTATGTATGTATGTATTTAGAGAGCTTGAGCAGGGGGAGGGACAGAGAGAGAGGGAGAGAGAGAATCTCCAGCAGACTCACACTCAGCATGGAGCCTGAGTTGGGATTAAGCAGGCCTTGATCCTAAGACCCTGAGATCATAACCTGAGCTGAAATCAAAAGAGTCGGATGCTTAACCAAATGAGCTACCCAGGCACCCCTAGAAAGCCAGATCATTCTTGAAAATGGCACAAGTAGCTTGTTCAGAGTCATTCCTTTTCTTGGCAGGTAGCAATCAGGATCAGGAAGTTAGTCATTGAAAAAGGAACCAGACAAATCCTCTATCATCATATGGTGTGGCCCAGTCTAGCTGGCCTGAAGCACTGAATTTGCCAGTCAGTATATTCTGCAGCTTTCAGTATGCACTCACTGTAGCTCATAAGGGAAAGGGAAAGATATTGTGTGAACGTGCTCTCTTGTGTTATTATGTAATGGGCGCCTTCACAGAATGAGGTCATGAAATCTTTCCCCAGTCACAGTCTGCCTGTTCAACCAGGTGGATCACTCAAAGCCATCTAATCTAACTCCTCTTGTTCTTCAGCTGAAGACTGGGGAGACCAGAGTAATAGAATGAATTACCAAGGCCATCTACATCCTACTTTAGTTTAGGTTTAGGTGGGCTAATTAATTAGTAAAGAGCAGTACCACCTAATAGGTATCAGTTCTATTGAAAAATATGATCATTAGGAAAATAAAAAGGAGGGGATGCTATTGAAAATCAGAAAATGGGGGCACCTGGGTGGCTCAGTCGGTTAAGCATCCAACTCCTCATCTCAGGGTTGTGAGTTCAAGCCCCGCGTTGGGCTCTATGCTGGGTGTGGAGCTTACCTAAAAAAATTAAAAAAGAAAGAAAATCAGAAAATGTCTTCTTTGGAAAATAGATAACTCTATACATAAAAATAAATTCCATATGAATCAATATAATAAGTGTAATGATTAAATCATAAAAAGAACTATAAGAAAAAATGGGCAGCATTTTTATAATTTTGGAGTGGAGAAATGCCTTTCTAAGCAAGGCACATATAATCATTAAGAAGAATGAGGTCTATCTTTATGAATCATGTTGAAATGGAAATAGCTCTTCATCGTTAAGTAATAACAGCAAGGTGCTGCTTGTGTGCACATAATTTACTCCGGGACACATCTTGTGGAGGAGTGTGACCAGTTAGTGAAAATTGGGAAGGGTATCCCAAAGAAAATGGGACACTGAGCAATCTCTTCTTACACATGGAGGCTCCCAGACCTTTCCGCAGGCTGTCATCAGCATGGCAGGGAGAGCAAAACTACAGAATATGTAAAAGGAAAACCACTGGCAATCAGTGAAAAAGTGTCAGAATCTGATCTCATGTCAGTAGAGCCCTCGTCAAATAGCTAAAATAGAAATGAATAAAAAATTCATCTTCAAAGAAAACAGAGGTATGTCCAGAATATGGAAATGGATTTTAAATGGAATTTTTACAAAAAAGCTAAAAATACCTGATGTTTATGGCCAAAGCAGAAATGAAAGGAGTCCTCTTCTAGAGAACAGCCATACACATATATACACACACAAGCTCTGTAATCTATACATGGATATGCACATGTATCAATGTATCAATGCAAAGTTCCAGAAACCACTCATAATGTTAAATTCCAGGAAGTGGAACCAAGGTCTGCATCGGAGAGAATCGGTCAATTTTGCATTGCATACCTTTTTAAACTGTTATAGGTTTGAGTTATTTTCTTAAAAACTTTTTAAAAGAGGGGCACCTGGGTGGCTCAGTTGGTTGGGCGACTGCCTTCGGCTCAGGTCATGATCCTGGAGTCCCGGGATCAGGTCCCGCATCAGGCTCCTTGCTCGGCAGGGAGTCTGCTTCTCCCTCTGATCCTCCCCCTCTCATGCTCTCTGTCTCCCATTCTCTCTCTCAGATAAATAAATAAAAAAAAAAATCTTTAAAAAAAAAAAAACTTTTTAAAAGGAAAAGAAAGGGATAGACTTTGGAAGTAATGAGCTTGATACAAAAGCTCCTGTGAAAGAGAAGATCCCAAACATACGTTTCCCAGGGGACAAGGAAAGACTATGTGGGACCACAGATAGATGCTTTCTGAGTACTGAATCTGGAATTGAACGCTTTGCTTGCCTTCCCCATTCTCTGCTTTTGTGGTTGGTAATGTTCACTGTTGCTAAGAAACATTGCTATTTAGGAATTCATCTAGGATAGGATAATTACATTTGCTTTCTACTACAAATATCTACAAGGATGTCTGGAAAAATATTTGACTAATTGAGTTTAGGAATAGGAATCCAGTACTTAAACATAAGTAAACAGCCTTTTTCTAAGTGGTTGACATATGGAATTTAACTTTGTATTGAGTAATAGAAAATTTGCTTTCTAAAAAATTCTTTTTTTACTGTGGTAAAATACACATAACATAAAATTTATCGTTTCTTACTGCTATTTTGCAAGACTACACTGGCTTGTCTATTTCTAGTCATAACAGACTCTTTTACTTTGCACTTGCTGTTTTCTCTATCTGAATAACCTTCCCCTCATCTTTGCAGGGCTAGTTCCTTTAATCCTTCCAGTTCCACCTTAAATGTACCCATCTCCGATGACCTTATCTGAAATAGGTGTCCCCCACTCTGTTATTTTTATTATAATCCCTATCATAGCATTTATTACAGCTTTCATTTATTTTTTTAAAGATTTTATTTATTTATTTGACAGAGAGAGACACAGCGAGAGAGGAACACAAGCAGGGGGAGTGGGAGAGGGAGAAGCAGGCTTCCTGCGGAGCAGGGAGCCCGATGCGGGCTCGATCCCAGGACCCTGGGATCATGAACTGAGCCGAAGGCAGACGCCCAACGACTGAGCCACCCAAGCGCCCCTACAGCTTTCATTTATTTATGTACATGTTTATTTACTTTTTTATTTTTATTTTTTCCTTTTCAAAACTGCAGAAATTCATGTATGTAGTAGACAGTTTTGTTCAAGATTGTTTCCATGTTCCTAGGACAGTATCTGATAATAATTTTCAGATAAAACTGTAAATCTCCAAATAATACATTCAAACACATCAGGAATTCTTTCTGTTCCATTTTCTCATTAGAGGTGTCCTGCCTGGAGCTCAGTCTTCCAGCTCCAAACCGGGCAGATGACTCCTGAGGTCCCAATCTTAGGACTTCTCTTCACCATCATTCTGAGGATCCTCTTTTTTTCATCCCCAGTCTTGGATCCCTTTGTTTACTGGACTTTGGTTTATACTTGTGTTTGGTGATACACATCTTCCAGTAGCCTTCTGAGAAAGAGTGTGTGGGAGGGAAACTTTTTATACACTGCATGTTTGAAAATGTCTTCTATCTCTACATGGGTCTAGAATCCTAGGGGGAAATGCTTTGTCCTCAGGATTTCTAAGGCATAGCTCCATTGTCTTCTAGTGTTAGTCTGGTTATTGAGATATTTGATGCCATTTTGCTTCTTGATTCTTTATGTTATCTGGGTACCCCCTACTATCCCTAATAGACATTTTTTTGAGCCTCATGTTTTCCCTTGATAGTCTGAGAACCAACTGGTAAAGTGCCACAAACCATAAGGTAATTTAGTTGGGTAGCAGAAATTAACAAAAAATGTAATGGGGAAAAAAAGATGCCATTTTTAAATCTAACACAGAAGATAAACTACTCAGGAATAAACTTAACAAGGATATACAACTCACTCGTCTTTTTTTTTTTTTTTAATGGCTTCTGGGTTTTGTCTTGCTTAGAAAGGCCTTCCCCTACGTCTCTCCCATGTTTCCTTCTTGTACTTTACAATTTACTTAATTATACTAAAATTGTCAATCTATCTGGAATTTATGTTAATATAAGAAATCTGAAATATAAGACTCCTTTTAGGAAAGGGATTATGTTTTATTTTAAAGAGAAACTCTGAAGTAAATCACTTAAGCTTTATTAGATAGCATGTGTTAAATTCCTGCCCTTGGGGTGATAAGAGAGGAAAAAGAGACAGAATAGTTAGAACAAGGAGTGGGGGTGAGACGGGGACACTAACCAAAGTACCTGTCAGATTGAGGCAAGCTTTCAAATAAGACTAAATTTGAGGGTTTTTTTGTGTTGTGTTTTTTTCCAAAGATTTTATTTATTTGTCAGAGATAGAGAGGGAGAGCACAAGCAGGGGGCGTGGCAGGCAGAGGGAGAAGCAGGCTCCCCGCTGAGCAAGGAGCCCGATGGGGGACTCGATCCCAGGACCCTGGGACCATGACCTGAGCCGAAGGCAGACGCTTAACCAACTGAGCCACCCAGGTGTCCTATAAATTTGAGTTTGTTATCCTGTCTTTTCAATCACCAGATGTCACTCTGATTTTCCATTTATTGTGAAGAGTTAAACACTCTCTTGTTGCCAAATTGTTTTTTACCCATGTAAAATGAAAAAAAAAATTGTCAAGAATCTTGAAATACCCTTTAGATAGTTTTGAGAAGATAAAAGGAATATCTGGTGTATTATTCCTGATTATTTGTAAATTATACTTGTTACGTATTTACAATAGTTTATAGAATATAAACTTACAATACAACTTACAATTGTTTATAGAATATAGTAGATACTCATCAAATATTTGTTGAATAAATGTAAGAGTGTCTTCACATGACCTGCCATTTAGCAAGAGGGTGGCAATAATTGATTGCAACACAATGTGTTAGTTAAGTGTGTGTGTGTAAAATCTCCCTATGCCAAAGAGAGGAATCAGTATCAGTCCTGAGTGGTTAGCACTCAGGTCACCAAGTTCATTGCAGCCCAAGTGTAAATAGGGGATAAATAAGTGATGGGTGATAGGTGATAAGTGATGGTAGAGCACACAAATGGTGCCAACAGCAGAGAAAAGGAGCCCCCAAGCCAGCCAGGATATGCTGTTTTCCAAGGAGGTGACTGCTGAGAGCAGAGGGAAGAATAGGAATTAGTGGCACTGAGGGGCACCTGGGTGGCTCAGTCGGCTAAGCACGTACCTTCGACTCAGGTCATGATCCCGGAGTCCCAGGATCAAGCCCCGTGTCAGGCTCCCCGCTCAGTGCGGAGTCTGCTTGTCCCTCTGCCCCTCCCCCTACTCGTGTTCTCTGTCACTCTCTCTCAAATAAATAAAATCTTAAAAAAAAAAAAAAAAAGGAATTAGTTGCACTGAGGTGGTGATTGAGGGGAATGGGTAGAGTTGATAAGGGACTGAAGCATAAGTACTCCAAGCCAGGGAACAGCATGCACAAGGCCAATGGTGAGAGAGAGATTGCATAGGAAACAGACCTCAGAGATGTGGAGGTGGACAGAGAGGGTAAGCAGAAGTGAGCCTGGGTCTTCATGGCCAATTTAAAAATTTGGACTTTGGGGCGCCTGGGTGGCTCAGATGGTTGGGTGTCTGCCTTCGGCTCAGGTCACGATCTCCGGGTCCTGGGACTGAGCCCCGTGTCGGGCTCCTGGCTTGGTGGGGAGTCTGTTTCTCCCTCTGCCTCTCCCCCTGCTTGTGCTCTGTCTCTTTCTCTCTCAAATGAATAAATAAAATCTTTAATAAATAAATAAAGATTTGGACTTCACCCAGTGGCCAGTGGGGTGCTATTGAAAGTTTCAGTGCAGGTTTCAGAGGAGGCATGATCATATCTACCTTCTGGAGAGTTCATTCTGAAGACAGAACCAAAAAGGTAGGCCAAGGAGGAGGTTGGTGCCATCATCTGGGCAGCAGGTTTCAGAGTCCCCAGGAGGTGCTGAGATTGAGGCTGCCTGGGCCAGAATGTTCTCAGGGTGGGAGGGAAGAAGGGATGGTGGAAGAACCACCCTTCTCGGGCTTCCTCTCCTCACGAAGGCTGATCTGGTTGGAGAGTCCTGGGCACCAGCAGAGCAGGCTCAGGTGGTCCATGCCTGATTCTAGCTCATCCCTTTATTGTCTGCGTGGGGTGGGGCATTGCCATAGTCTTCGTGAAGTGATTGTCAGCTTTCTGTATTTAGTACAAGAGACTGTGCGGGCCCAGAGTGATCTGGTGTTGGAAACAGTGCATGACAAAGGCAACATGGAGCAGGTCATCTTGGAGATACAGAAGAGATTTGAAGCTGTAAGTGTGGATACCAACCTCTTTCCTCAAGTATGTTTTTAGCTTTGTCACTAAGACCCAGAGAGACACCTTTAAAGCTGCAATTTTTTTTCAGCCCAGAACAGAAGCCAGATAGGTCCCTTGGCAATGGACCAGGGTGGGACCAACTTCCTCCTCCAAGGTTCTCTGGCATGATGTGGACCCAAGGGGCCCTGCTCCAGAATGTTGCCATGCTTCCTCTGTAAAGCACCCAGCAAGGGAAAAGCTTTGGTTCTGCTAGCACATCCTTTGGTTGGTTTGCACATTTCATTGTGCCTTCTGAGTTGCAGTGTCCATACCTCTTTTCTCACTATCTTTCCCTAGAGACAAGCAGAATTTATAGAAATGAAATCTGACCTGAAGCAACTTGAAGTTTTAGTTGCCCAGCAGAGTAAGGACTTCCAGCGGCTATGTGAGCAGCTAGGACAGCTGAATGTGGCCAGTGTCCTGGCAGAGCTGAAGAGATTAATTTCAGCCCCTCGGGGCCCCGCGCACGTGAAAGACAGCACTTCCCAGACCTCACCACCTCTGGCCCAGAGCCTCCATTTCACCAGGCAGGACACATATGCTTCTGAGGAACCAGTTCTGTGGCAGGCTCAGGCCCCCCCTGCTGTACAGAATCTGAGTATGGGTTCCCTGCAGTCTGGAGAGTTCGGTGTCTGTGGTGAGGGAGCAAAAAGTGATGCTCTCCAAGAAGAGGCTGCGCTGATGGCAGCTGGAACCAGCAAAAGAAACAGGCAAGTCAAGGACAGGGCAGTACAGACCAACTGCAAGAACTGGACCCTTCCTAAAACCAGCTCAGAGAACCATGGCTCCGGCTTCCCAGGCCCCGAAGTTCCTGGTGGTAGGGACTGGGTTTCCCAAGGAGCCTCAAGGCTTCTACCCCTGGACTTGAACAACTTTGCAACCAGCATTAAGAACACCTGCCAAAAATGTCAAACCGAAGGTGTGTCTCCGTGTGACCCTTGTGAACAAAGGTGGGCGGCTGCACAGAAAGGCAGAACCGTGGAAAGGGGGGGGACAGGCAAGAAGCAGCAGCCCAGGAAGTCCCACAGAGGCAGGCTTCTAGCCAGGAAGCAAGAACAAGTCCCTAGCAAAGCCTGTGCTTTCATTTCTAAATATCCTCAGCCTCCAGTTTCTGGCCCACAAAGGCCCCCCCTGGAGCAGCAGAAGCCCCTTGCTCAGCCCCTGCATCTGAGGGGCCCCAGCAGCCCCACAAAGCCAGTCAGCCCTGTTCTGGGAGGCATAGTCAGGCGCAGTAAGGTGATGAGGGCAGCACAAGGGAACATCTTACAACTCGGTGGGCACTCTTCCCAAGACGACAGGCTGCTTTCCACCAGTTCCCAGGGGGACCACCAGATGAGCTGGTTCAGCGACCTCAGCCTGGGAAGTTCAGAACCCCCTCTGTGCAGGGAGCCAAGCAAGAATGTGCCCTATGACCTGGGTTTTGATAGCAGTGATGATGGCTTCTGACCAGCCCACAAAATGTCTGCAGCTGATAGCTTATTGGTCTCAGCTGGAAAGACAGATGACAGCGCCCCAGGACTAACAGCAGAAAGCCCCCGAAGCCGAGGGGAGCGCTCGGGCTCAGAGGCCCTGCTGGGGGTCAGGGCGGGATGGGTCTGGCATTCTGGGTACCAGGTGCCGCCCATGACAGGCCTCAGAGCTACACACATCTTTATGTATCGGAGTGAAGCATGTGAAGACCGTGGTGAGGAGCCGGGGCAGCAGCCTGGGTGTAGGGCATGGGGGGAGGGTGCGGTTTCTGGTGAAAGGAGGGATATTGTGTGGCGGAAGGGCTCTCTCAGAACCATTGGTGCGGCACCATGACTCCCCAACACCACATTTTTGGTCTTCACAATATTTCCTACACATAAACAATAACTTTCCAGGCCTCAGTAGTTTTTTTATTATTATTTTTCTCCAGTTTTACTGTCAGAGCACTTGCATTTTTTGACCAGTGGAGGTATTATTACAGAATACACTAAGTCAAGTCTTCTTGTGTGAGAAACCGAGAATGTTAAGCTGCCAATCAAAGAGAGGTGACATGCACCCAATGAATGCCCAGAGTGCCGCTGTACACGAGCCAACCAATCCCAATTTTCTTCCTGGCTCTTTGTCCCCATCCTGTTTTCAACCACTCTTCAAGCTGGTGAGAGCATCTAAGGGTCCAGTAATATTTCCGGAGGGCATGGGGCTTATATGAAACTTTGGCTTTCTATTTATATCTTGCAGAAGTTTTGAATTTTTGTTATACATATATATTTATTTTGTAACAAAAAAAATAAAACATATAAAACATTTAAAAGCATATGTTTTGGGGAGGGGGCGTGTGGGTGGCTCCGTTGGTTAAGCGTCCGACTCTTGATTTCCATTCAGGTCATGATCTCAGGGTTATGAGATTGAGCCCCGCGTGTGGCTCTGCACTGAGCGTGGAGCCTGCTTAAGCTCTCTCTCTCCCTCTCTCCCTCTGCACCTCCCCCTACTCAAGCTCTCTTTCTCTCTCTCGAAACCCCACAAAAAACAAAACACTTAAGCATATTTTTTCATTAAGTTTATTGAAGTGATCTCCCATCAACTTAAGAAAATCAAATGGATAAGATACATACCATCTTTTTATCCTGCAGGCTTCTCCCAAGATGATTTTGAATAAACAACAGCCTCCTCAGACTGGTTTCTCTTCCTTTATCGTTTGAAAGTAAAAATCCTCACTGGATGGATTGGCTTCCAGAATCTGCCCATTTTCTTCTCTTTTTTTTTTTTTATATTCTTTATTTAAATTCAAGTTAGTTAACATAGAGTGTGTCATTAGTTGCGGGGTTGGATTCAGTTATTCATCGCTTGCATGGGAGACCCTGTGCGCATTATATCACGTGCGCTCCTTAATGTCCATCACCCAGTTACCCCATCCCCCCACCCCGTCCCCTCCAGCAACCCTGTTTGTTCCCTAGAGTTAAGAGTCTCTTATGGTTTATCTCCCTCTCTGATTTTATCTTATTTTTCCTTCACTTCCCCTATGTTCATCTGTTTTGTTTCTGAAATCCCACATGTGAGTGAAATGATATATTTGTCTTTCTCTGACTGACTTACTGAGTTTAGCATAATACCCTCTAGTTCCATCCATGTCTTTGCGCATTTTCAAGGCTGTAGTAAATGACACTAGGGCCTCTGAGTGGGCCGTTATGGAAAACAGTGTTCTTGGGCGCCTGGGTGGCTCAGTTGGTTGAGCGACTGCCTTCGGCTCAGGTCATGATCCTGGAGTCCCAGGATCGAGTCCCGCATCGGGCTCCCTGCTC